ATCACAATACATGGGTATTCAATAAAATTCAATTAATTTAAGTCTGACTTTTGAGAATGTGCAGTTGAAGGTTATGAATATGTTATACTTAAGGTGGTGGTAGAAGTCTGGCACGTAGAAAATGCCTATTTTAACTTTTAGCTACTTTTTTCAGGTTTTTGTCATTAGAATATTTCTTCTGTTTCTACTGCAAATAACTATCAAAAAGGAAAAGAACAACTGGGATGGGCTCCCCTGTTTATCACTGGCCCTACAATTTTCTAGGAGTAGTATCTTTTTGGAATTATGTAATGTCCTCTGCTAATGACATTGTATACATGCTATTACATTTCCTGTGGGACAAAGTACTGTTGTCTGGAAGCTTTGAGAGTAATGTAACACACAGTAAATAAAGAAGCATTTTGTGTATTCTTAGATTTTTACACTTTTATTTTAAAAGAGAATTTCATATTGATTAACACCTACTATTAAACAGAATGGTGCATTAATTAAATGCCTTGTCCTAACTGTTATAAGCTCTGTTAGAAAAATAAACATCTCACAACAAACTACAGTGTCAGCTCTTTAATAAATACATAAAACAGAAGTTAGTAGTCAATCAGAGTTATATGAACAGGTTCATAGTATATTATGTGAAAGTATCATATTCTCCAATATTCTGTATCATTTAAGACAATTTAAGTTATGTATAATTCAAAGCCAGAAATAATAAGAAATATGTTCAGTGATAACTTGCTTCTTTCTTACAGCTATATTATATTCAAATATTTAATTTAAAAATATATTCTATATTAAATTTCTTTTTACAAATGCAGTACTTGTTAGATGAAACAAAATAAGTTTTTAGGTTACTGATAAGTTTAAAACATTTCTAATTTTTTCAGAAGTTCAAGAAACCATAATGAAGTAGCTAATAAATGTAAAATAGTTTAAAAGCTATGTTAAATATACACAAAATGAATTTCTATATTAATATGTGCAAATTTATATTTTCTTATAATTTAGAATTAAAGTATTTTATACTCAATATTCATAATAAAATTTATGTACCATATTTGTCATTGTGTAGAATTCTCACGAAAATTTCACATTTATCTGTGGGAATGTGTAAAGCTGGTAAAACTTCTTTACACTAATCACACATTTTCCATCCTTGATAATTGCAGTGTTTTTTTAAAAATATTGTTGTATTAGACAATTTTTACTGAAGTAGGTTGTAGAGGCTAGAAACCTGATTAATAGAGTAGTGTTAGACAATTCTAACTGAAGTAGGTTGCAGAGGCTAGAAGAAACCTGATTAATAGAGTTAGCTTACAAAGATAAATTTTATGCAGAAAAGTATTCCAGGTAGATAAAAGAGTAGTGTCATTACTCTCAGGTTTACATTAACAGCTGCCCAGATAGCTGAACAATTATTTCATATAATTCAAATAATTTAAATGAGCAGTTTTATAACAGTCGTCACATAAGCTTGAAGTTAAAGTGATCAGAGCCAAGGGGAAAAAATCGGCAAATGATAAAGAAGAATAAAAAGGAAGAGGACTCTAGAAGAAAGTTGGTTTTCACAGCACTGATTGGTTTTATCATATTTTTCTCCTGCCATTGATACAAGACATATAAGATGCTGCAAAACCTAACTATGACAGTTCCATGTAATATTTTTCCAGTTAATTTTGTTTAAAAGTGAGATGATAATATAAAAGGATCTCATATAATAGAATAAAAAGAATAAAAATTTGTTAATGAAACGTAGACATACCCACCCATTCTTGTTAGTTAAGTTAGGGTTTGCTGAAATCATTCGCACTCACGTAAAGTATAAATGGGGCCTGAAAGAGCTTTTGTAAACTCAAGATGTGCGGGATCTGAGCTGCTAATCAGTTAGGCTCCATGTTGAGTTGTGTGTGTCTCAATTTTCCTGAAATTTTGGCTTCATATGTTATCATAAATGGGCTCTCAAATCTTTATAAGAAAACAAAATTCCCCTAGACCCATAAACCTTTAGGTAAAGTTGGATTAGTGTATTATTTATTCAAGCATAATTTTAAACACTGCATCTGAAGTGCCAGCAATTGCAAGAAGTGTCACAATTTCAGAGATGTTAAATTGAAAAAGTGATGTCTTGGAATCAATGAAATATAAATATGGATGTGTATAATCAGTTATACATAAAATTTGCTATAGAGGAATTATGAAAGAGAAGGAAAATTATCTGAAAGAATGTTAGCTATATCTCAGTGGTCTACATTGCCTAAAATGGAGTTCTTAAGGTCAATATAAATAAGGATAGTTGTAAATTAAATATTGAGTCAACATAACAGAATGCAATATGCACCTGATTGAGCTCCCATGTAACTGTATTTCACTTGATACTTTTATGAAAACATATACATTCCAAATCCTTCAAAATGAAAAGAAGCTCAAACAGTTGTGAAAATTTAGAATTCTTACATTTTAATGGGTCTGTCTTTGTTCAGGGGCATAGACTCAAATGAGCTTTAAGGTCAATTAAAGGTGTCTGGAAATGAAGAACTTCATTATACCATTAAATTCAGTTCTTTTTCACTATTAGGTTTATTAAGCTTGAAGCTTTAGAAAATCTCTCAGGAAGAGTGAGTGGAAAAAACAGGAATAAGAAAAGAAAGAATAAGCCTTTGAGTGTAATCTACTCTACCAGGTTCTAGGAGGAATATAATTCTACAGAGAAAATTCTTCATAGTCTATCATAATACATTTCAGTGTCTGATGGCTGACTGTTGTCTTACATAAGGATATCTTCAATGGATATTAAGTAAATATTACAAATATATTTCAGATTTATTCTTTGAAGTATTGCATCTCATGTATCCACGAACTTTAATGTTGAGTTTTGGAAAATTGCTTCCAGAGATATCTATTGTGTTTAACCTTATATTCTTTTTTTTTGTTGTTATTTTAATAAACCAAAGATAAACTGAACATTTAAGACATAATCAGAATTTTAGTGAATTTTTAAGTCTTCCAGAAAAGTCTATGACTTAATAAATATTAGCAAGTTTCCAAAAATATAACAAATGTTTATAAATACATGTGCACTGCAGTGCAATGGTGTCCCCAGAGAAATAAAATGCATAACAAAGCAAATGTTATGTTGTAGTGTATGTATGGCACATTTATAAATCATTACATACTTTAGGACACAAAAATGCTGCAGTACTAAAAGTGTTGTTCAAGTTCTCAATTCTGTTAACGATTTAAAATTTCATTAATTGTGTTTAATATCAATGAATCTCAAAAGGCTCCTGTGGCCACATTAGTTGAAAATAGACTCTATTTACATAAATTATTTAACCTAAGAGTACCCTGTGTTCCCTTACCATTTAATTAATTCTAACTAGTCAAATATTAATTCTCATCTCACAAATCATTACCCAGGAAAATATCAATTATTCAAGTAAAATATAAGCCCTACAATCTTTAAAAATTAGCTTTTTAAGTAAAAACAAAAAAGGTAAGCACAAGACTTCGCAAGCATAACCACAATCATCGTCTAACAGTGAGTTGCCTACAAGGAAGTTTGCCCCTTCCTATGGTAACAGCCTTGGTCCACTATAAAGTTAGTGCAAACAAGTGAGGGTGTAAAAAAATATAAACCCTTGATTTTTAAGGATTTCATTTTGTTATACTCTTTTAGATAATTCATTCCATATGGGAATGCGTTTATTGTTCATAAACATCATAATGTTTGTTTCAAAAATTGTCGTCATCTTAATTAATGGCTATCTTACACTTTTTTCTTTTGGAGGGTTGTCAGGCATCCGTCCATTTTCCTTTTTAAGAAGAATGTTATGTGTATTAGGATACTAAATCCAATTTTTACATTATTTTTAGTGATCAAAGGTTTCTTATACAAGTGACTCACAGTACTGAACTATGTCAATCTCTCGTTTGAGGAAGGAAGTGCAATTCAAGTTAGCATTGAAATTGCTTGGCTGTAGAGGACATCTAATAGAGCTGCTGTGTTTATTGGCCCCAGAACAACTTATTATAGGTTTTTCAGTTCTCTTTAGGGTAGAAAATGAGATGGGGTTAGTCTTCATCAAATTGCCAATATCCAGTACTTTAACTCAAGTGCTGGAAGGCAGCAAATCTTGGAAGTTAATTATAAAAAGATATTTTAAATAGATTCTTTTGTTGTCATGGGCAAAACTGTGTATCCACACAGGACTGTTAGACTGCTAGCCAATAAAATCAGACTAAGTCCATAGGGATAAGGTAAGTGTAAAGAAATTTCCACTGGGGAAGACAAGGCTCATGGCCCGTGTATCAAGGTCTCAAGCTGAGCACTGGAGAACTCCAGGGAACACTGTTCATATAGGCTATGGTACGAAGGAATTCCCTTGTAGGTGCGCCATGCTTCAGTCTCTTAAGAAGTTGATTAGCATGAAAGACTGGAAGCTGATTATGGACAATTAGGTTTGAGTTATTCTTTTCTATTTTGCTTTGAGCTTTCCTCATACACTTAAGACTTGAGTAAATCACATTGAAAAACATTTGCCAATTGAATATTTTAAAGATTCAAGAGGTAGCATGATATTGTGCAATGAACACTGGCCTGGCAATGAGAAGATAGAAACTCCTTTCCAATGTGGCCACTTTATCAGTTGAGTGTTTTTTGAGAAATCATTTAAGTTTTCTGAGGTTCAGTTCCCCAACTCACTAAAAAGGAGAATTAGCAGCCTGACATGGTGGCTCATGCCTGTAATCCCAACACTCTGGGAGGCCGAGGAGGGTAGATCACCTGAGGTCAGGAGTCTGAGATCAACCTGTCCAACATGGCAAAACCCCATCTCTACTAAAAATACAAAAATTAGCTGGGCATGGTGGTGGATGCCTGTAATCCCAGCTACTCAGGAGGCTGAGGCAGGAGAATTGCTTGAACCCGGGAGGCAGAGGTTGCAGTGAGCCCTGATCATGCCATTGCACTCCAGCCTGGGTGACAAGAGTGAAACTCCATCTCAAAAAAAAAAAAATAGCTTATTTCTAAGATATCTAAGATATCATCTATTCTCCTCCAATTTTATACTTTTATGGATTCTGGCAAGAAGGGTTGGAGTGATTCCGGGAGAGAACATCCTTAGGCTGCCTTGAAGAGAAAAGATAATATAGCTTTTCATTTAAAAAACGCTGATATCTACTTGCAATCAAAATCTAAGAAAACATTCAAAATGTGGTACTTTGCTTGAGGCAGAATTTCTAAATATCTTGTGAATTAATGATCAGGTAAATGAAATGGCCAAACAATCCCTTCAGTTTACCAGGTAAGAAGATACAAAACTCCACACCTGTGCACAATGAAGCTATTCAGATTTTGATGGTACTTTACAGTGTCCCCTATTAACATTCAGCTTTTAAAACCAGTATTCTGATAAAGTGACATTGTATTATTAGTTTTTTATGGCAGTAGTAACTTAGCACTTAATTAATCCAGTCATCTGTGACATATATAAACTTATCCTGTAAAAAAGAAAACAAAACATAAAGGCAAAGAGGAGAGAATGCTGGAATTAGTATCCATCTTGTAAAAAGAAGCAAACCATAAAGACACATGCATAAAACTACACACTTTAAAAAGCAATAATCTTTTAAGATTAAGGTTTTATCTGTCCACCTCTTGAAAGAATGAAACGCGAATCATTTACTCATCTAGCTGTTCTTGTCTATTCAACCACCAACTGTTGAAGTGTTTGGCAACCTTAGAATATACTTGCCAGATTATTTTTTTCCTCGCATGTCCAGTGCAGGGATTACTGTACCCTTGTAGTGACACAATGCTAAACTGTCTCACAGCATTGTTCTCTCTGGGAAGTGTAGGGATAACAGGTACCTGTAAAGTGTAATCAGTGCTCTTCAGAGGATCTACATTCTATGCTGATCTAAATAAGTTATATATTACAGTAAAGTGCTACAATGACACTAGTCTCAAACAGTAGTAAGACACATTTTTCTCTGAAAAAGTCAGCAGCTATGTGAGTCACATCATGATGAGGATGCTTGTCAGTCTTCGTTCGAGTATACAACCAGCAACTGGCATGACCGTGAGCAATTTGTCTCCTCCTGTGACTTTTAAAATTATAATCTTTAGGAGCAATGATTAAGAATTCCAGTTTCCCATTAAGTATTTAAAAATCTTTTTTTAGAAGTTGCACCTGAAAGTTTCATGAGCATTTAATTTGCTGATATCCATTTTTATTTCTTCAGGCTTCTCACGTCGGTAGGTTACTGCTCTTGTGCAAACACTTTGCAGAATCAACTTATCCTTAATGGAGAAGAAATATTATTATTAACTAAGGGCCTAAATATTGTAACTAGGCAATAACATACTGTTAGCAATTCTTTTTTAGAATTCACTGACCTTTTTTGAGGCTGACACTCTGTAATCTGACGAGGACTTAATTTTGTTACTATTCCATTGTAGTATCACCTGTCTAATGATAAGGACTTTAAGCAACCCAATCAAGAATGTAACTATGAAAATGATGAAAAATATTCTCAAGTAGCTTGGGCTGGAGAAACATTCTGTAATGAAGCAAACAAATAAATGGATTAAAAATTGGAATAAGTAAATCAAAACAGTCTATCACGTAAATGATGTTCACGCCTCAATTAATAGTGCCAAAGATATTTGCAAATCTACATTTTCAAATCAGGGGATTGAAATTACCTTTGATTCAGAAACAGTAAGCTCTCTAATTTTTCTTGCACGTTTATTGTGAAAATATTTTCAATAGACAACCCTCCTTTGGAGAATAGCCATGATTAAGGTATTCAATCATATTATTCCTTTGCAGCTTGATTCTTTAATTGTATTAACTGGAATATGTCCATGTCCCATAACCAAGCATAATTTAATCCAAGACAGAAAGAGGAATAGTTTTTGTGGTTGATCACTAAAGGGAAAATAGGATTTCAAAAAATTACTGAGCCATTCTGGGCCTTAGGATATATTTCTCTTGTTATGCTTCGTCTTCATTTGTTCCACGCCAGTAATGGAAAATAAAGTAAACATCTGCAAAAACTAAAATCAAAACTACTCTAATAGGTAAATAAATATTTCTTCAGAAATTGAAGTGTAAATTTTCATTATTATTATACATGGCTTCTCCAGGAAATAGGAGTGTCCCATTTGGGATCACATGAAAATGTCATTCTTCATTTTTCATTAATTTACTTTTTACTTGTCGTTAACTACACCTATTCCATTTGCCTCTAAAAATGCACTGTGTATTTTAAGAACAAATAATACTTAGGACAAATAATTACTAGCTGGAAAAAGAAATGTTGTGTTAAGAGGAGGGACATGCTAGATCTCGTTTTAGCACCAGATCTTTGGCACACCTTCATTGCCAAAGATCTGGTGCTTAAAAGTCTACAGACTCTGTTGTTGCCAGAGGCATTACCCTAATCTAAGAGGAATATGGTTACACAATAGGCAAGTATTCCATAGAACTAACTCACCAGCTGCCCCAGATTAATAAAATTACTTTGTGGCTAAAGAGGCATGTGTGCCCCCACCCGTTCTCCAAGGTTTGGGGACCTCATCCAAAGTTCCGATGGCCACTAGGGTGGTGACCTGCTAAGGCTTAGCATAGTGCACCTCCCAACCAATCCTGGCTGATTTGGGTCTGAATTTCCAGTGAGGACTAAGCATGTTTTTGAATAAGGCCAAGCTCAGTGATAAGGGAAAGGGTTCCTCTCAAGCGAGAAGACTTAATTAAGCCTATTTGTGTGTGTGTGTGTGTGTGTGTGTGTGTGTGTGTGTGTGTGTGTGTGTGAGAGATAAGGTACTTTGAAAGAAAGGTCAAAGGCTATCCCAGTGCTACAATTGGAATGGAAACACCAAATGCCAGTGTAGGTCCCTGTTGCTACAGGTCTCACAGAGAGAGAATCCAAAATATTCTGCTCAAAGGTGGTGTCTTTTGAGGCTTCTACAGTGACTTTGGGTTCATAACACACATGCCTTCTGTTCTGACAGATTGTCATTTCCTTTGGTTGATTTAGGACTACTCAATCAGCTAAGCAGATCGTCAGGGGGGCGCCCGGCTTGATTCCACTTAGTGGCTTCTCGCCTGGTGGGAGCTCAGCCAGAGAGCCTGAAAGAACAGCCTTTAAGTGTGACTGAGTGGATAGATAATAGAGGTGCCTAACAAATGCCCTTTCCCTCTCCTTGCACAATAGTTGTGAAGGGGAGGGGCGGCCCCTAGCTACTGACACATTTTGGAAATATTTCTAATAGGTTACAACAGAGGGCATCTTCGGAGCTCAAATCTGCATGCATATTGAAATGCTATGAGTGGTCAAACATTCATGCCTAGCCTATACTTTCCTTAGTTTAGGTCAGGCCAGGACTTTTCCTAAGGAGCTTTAAGGGAATACTTTTTGTAACAACACTTAAGTCAAAGTAGTGTTTACTTAACATAATAAATGACATGTTGATAGTAAGGCCTTATTTATTAGAAAGGCACTTGGCTTTCTGGAGTGATTGCTGCAGCTCCAGCTGGCAGCACATGGGGCTCTTTTCAGAGCCAAGTTCATTATGGGCTAAGATCAGTGTGGATGTGAGGGAAAAAGGAAACAACACTCTGGAGAAAGTTTATTCTTTTGTGCAGTCTCTCTAAGAGCTGGAGTTTTTCCTACAGGTTGGAGAGACTTGAAATAATAGTTGCAATAGGAATGTTTTAATAAAGATATAATTTCAAGGTTAGTTTCTAATGCATGTGGAGGTCCACACCTTACCCCTGTGCAAAGTAGGGTTCTGGGTTCTAAATAACTTTTTGTTTTGTTTTGTTTTGCTTTTTTTTTTAAACAGCTTTATTAAGTATCATTGATATACAAAAACTGCACATGTTAATGTATACAATATAACGAGTTTACGATTCAGTTTTTTAAATCTCCCAAAGATGGTACCCTGTAACCACTGAGTGTGCTTGCTATGGTGTGGCTGAGTGGTTAGGTTTCCCGTCTCATCTACACAGCTGAATTCCCATGCAATGTACTTCCATGGAAAGGCATCCAAATAAATTGGCTGTCAAGTCCTCAGTGAACCAGAAATATGAGTTCCCCATGTAGACTCCTTTCACTAAGAGATGAAGTCTACTGAGCCATAATTTTCCTTCATAATTCAAACTTGCTTCCAGTTCTGAACTTCATCATGTCTAATCAATATTTGCTTTCATGTTTCAGGTGAAGCCAAAAAATTCTAAGTAAAAATGATCTGCTTTTACAAAATATGTAACTTGAAAAGTGCCATTCCTTCCTGGTGCTTTTCATTTTGATAAAAATATAGCTTAAGAATGAATGATCATAAATGTGATGTAATGAAAAGGGTATGGAAGTTTTAGTTTGAAGATCTTGGTCTAAGACATGTATCTTAACATTACTAGTTAAGAGATAGCAGCCCTCATACAAAAATTTCCCTGAACCTCAGTTTCCCCATCTGTAAAATGGAGATTATACCAATCTCAAAGAGTTGTATGACATTAAATGAGCCAGTGAACATGAAGGAAGTATCTAAGGTAGAAGACGACACATAAACACATATTTATTATTGTTATAAAGAATAAAGCAATGTTTTTTAAAATTTAATTCAAAATTTAAAAATAAAGCCCTCAGTCCTCTCTCTCTCTTTTTGTTTTTTTAAACAGGGTTTCGCTCTTATTGCCCAGGCTGCAGTGCAATAGCACGATCTCAGCTCGCTGCAACCTCCACCTCCCGGATTCAAGCGATTCTCCTGCCTAAGCCTCCTGAGTAGCTGGGATTACAGGCGCCAGCCACCACAGCCGACTGATTTTGTATTTTTAGTATAGATGGGGGTTTCACCATGTTGGCCAGGCTGGTCTCGAACTCCTGACCTCAGGTGATCCACCAGCCTTGGCCTCCCAAAGTGCTGGGACTAAAGGTGTGAGCCACCACACCCGGCCCGGTCCTTTCTTTAGCATGGTTACTTATGGGTCTTTTGGAGGAAGATCATCCTCTACAGACACTATTCTGTGCTTTGATTATTAAGCTTTGGCCTACCTGAAGTTTGGTCGACATAATGCTGTTGTTCCATGAGAGCACATGAGGTTTTGCACTGATCAAGTATAGCCTGAGACAAATTGTGAGGGTGAAGGCATTGCACACAATTCCTGCAAGGGGAAACAGAAGTGAAAATATTTATTCTTTAAAAAGGTGGTAGACTATAATATTTTCCACAAGAAAACAAAACACAAAATAACAATGCAGAAACAAATCAAATTTTGATTATGTTCATTAGAAATTACACCATCATTACATTGAAGGATTGCATTTCCAAATGATTTAAATAAATTACCATGCATAATTCTAAAAAACTTACTTGCGCTACTAATCTGAGAAAGTCAATGGTTTAAAATGCTGACTAAAACAAACTGGAAGTTACAGTGATGTTTAGATTAGTAGACTTTGTGCAGATCTCAAATTGTTACTGAAATATTTATTGGCACAAAAGAGTAATGTCACCTTCATTTAACATATCACCTTTCATTTATAGATCACTTATTTCTAGGGTGTGTCACGGACACCATTGTTCTTTATCATTAAAATATTAAAAATAAAACATAGCAGTAACAGCTAACATTCTATGATTGCCATGCATCAAGTCCAAAGGTGAGTTTTTTTATATGAATCATTTGATTCTTTCACAGAAATATAGCAAGGTATTATTACTATCCTCACTTTTGATATCAGGAAACTGAGGCACAGAAAATTGTAACAACTTGTCCTAGATCACTCTATTACTAAATAGTATGCTGGGCAGCAGGTAACCTCTAATTTCCAAAAAGCTAAGGTAGTGAGTGTCCAGATTTATTCCAATGCTTCCACAGCTATCCAGGGGTCAAAGATTTGAATTTAAGTCTTCTAATTCATAGCATTTCTCATTTAATTCTTTTTTAGCGTGCTGGTCACAATGTATCCAGCAATGTTTAAGATTAAGGAAGTCAGAACAAAAAAGGACAAAAGTAGCTATTCTTTGTGTATGTTTGGAATCAGAGAAATCATACCAGTTTTCCTTGCAGGCCGTATGACAGGTGGGGCAGTGTTCACAGAAGCGGCCGATGCTCCTGGGATCGGTGCACTCACACCTTCCACACACACACGTGCCTCTTCCACTGCACACTTGGCCCTTTGAATTGACACAGTGCTGGGCTGCTGCTGAAGGGCACTGGCACCGATCTCCCTCCCAGCCACTGAAGCATTGGCATCTGCCTGCTTCACACTCTCCATGCCCTGTGAGGAAGACACCGCAGGACCTACGTTATCTGGATCACTGACTTTGTAAAGAATTTTCAACCATGGATTCCTGTATCATCTCCATGGAAACGCACTGACAGTCCAATGAATGGAAACAACATCACTTTTTCGTTGGTCTGACACAAACAGTGTTGGATTTAGGAGGATCTGTTTTCAAAACTGTTCTACTGTAGATAATCTCCCCATGTTAATGCACTCTCCTAATAAGCTTGAAGGGCACCCCTGCTTCAGTGGCTGCCAGACTACTTGAATGTCATCGCATATTCAGTTTTACATTAAAAACACACACATATCAAGAAACTGCAAAGGCCGAAGTAATGTTAACTCCCTGACTTGAAGTTAGAAAAAATACAGGTATTTGATTAATGGCTTCCGTCACCTATTCTCTCAGTCTTCTGATGTTGCTGAAGGCCTAGGATAACTTTACAGGACTGTGAAGCAAACCTTTCTAGTGCTTCAGTACTGCTAATGCCATGTTTAAAGATCAGATTTCTTGGGAAGTTGAACAAATGCTTTCACATCCTCAGTGCATTATTTAGTAAGTTAGCAGGGCAGATCCTCCTCTATCCTGTGAGCTGTTCTTAGATGGTAAATGAAAAAAAGAAAGAAAGATGGTGTGTGTGTGGTGGGGGAGCATTTATGCATGTGGGGTGAAGAAAACACAGTTACACAGAGTTAAATGGATTTTAGACAGAAAAAGTGTCCAAAACTTAATATGCCAGTGTGCACTAGAAATTGTCAAAAGGAAGTACGTTTCACATGATTATATAGGAATTCTGAAGCTTATCTAGCCACAAACCAACCTTCCTCTTTTCTCCCTCTCGCCCTCCCTGCCTCCTTTCCTTTCTCCTTCCTTCCCTCCCTTCCTTCCTTCTATCTCTCTCCCTTCCTTTCCTTTCTTAGCTCCCTCTCTCTCTTCTTTTACTGCTGAGCACCTCACAGGATAATTGTTCCACAGATTCTACTGTAGGACCAGCTCAATTTGCTAAGTGTAAAACTAATGAAGTCCAGGCCAGACAAATGTCGGTCAAGCCCTGTGTGCTGTGCAAGCTTATGCTGAATCCTCGCCAGCAGGCCTGTGAACATGTGTTTTTATTCCCAAAGGAGACTAGTGGAGAAAGTACATGTCAGTTACAGTCTGCACTTACACAGAAACAATTCAAAGCAGATTTTCAACTGCTTGTGGGTCAGTAGTATCATACTCATATAGAAAAGCTAGTACACTAGATATTTTACTGCAGGGACTGGGACAAATACTCAAATGTATTTGAAACTCTCTTGAGAGATTGACAGTTGTGGGACGTGACTTCAGAAAATTCTTTCTCTTCACTGTAAAATAATATTTTTCCTCCCTGTAAAATATGGTAGACAACTGCTGGTTCATTCTAAAGTCATCTATAATCCATCCTACCCATGATGTCAGTTACAGTTGAATACATGTTTGTATATATATTAAAATATTCTATGTATGTTATAGAAAAAAAGACAATTTCCACTGCACATTTAGGTGATACAGGCCAAATTTTCAGCTTAGACTAGATTGCACCATTTATTTTTTATAGGTTTGTTGCATCCCATATGCTTATGATGATGTTTCCATTCATCAATAATTTAACAAATATTTATTTACTAAAATACAGATACTAAAAAGATGTTTTTCTCAACGAGTAAATTTAGCATATTGTCACAGGAAAATTATCACAGAACGCAGATGACAGGTAATTTATTTAATTCACTTAAAAATGGTATTTTGTTTTAGTTTGCAAATGTTGATTAGATTTTCTGGAATCTAACCTGTAGGTGGCAGTAAATTGAATAGCCCAAGAGTAATCTTGGTATTTTTATTTTAATTTATTTTATGTTTAAAATTTGGTCTGTGTGTGGCCTCAAGGACGAATCTTTTAGATTACTTAGTAAGGAAGTATTTTCTTGAAGAATGCTGTCCTCTGGCAGTTTCGTTGCTGGTGGTGGCCCAAAATAAACTGGAGAGGCTTAAATTCCTGCCAGCTTGGAATACCATTTATAATAATGCATTAAAGATTTTCATATGAATGAAAAATATACTCTTATACCTCACTCCCCATCATCCTGACAGAAATAAAATCCTATGTGCAAGTTGGAGGGAGTGACCATTTACCAGAATGAATCAGATCCTTCTAGAAGAATACTCTGATTCTTCTAGACAATGTGTCAGATATCATCAGCATTTCCTTTTCTGGTATATTTCTTTCCAAGATCAAGGAAAGCATGAGAATAACAATTAATTTTAGGTTTTTATTTTGAAGCATTTCCTGTATAAAATAGGTTAAAATATAAATATCAAAATCACATACTATAAATCTGTTGCCATGCCCTAATTTCATGGGCGATGAAACTTTGAATAACAAATTCAGATTCAATTTTGCTAATTTGTAAAGATGTGATTTAACGATACTTTAACATCCATGCTGGTGTAATAGTGACAAGTAAAAGCTGCCTGTGTATATTTATACTCACCAGCACACAGATTTCCATGGTGATATGGACAAGAAAAGTCATCCTTTTCACAATATTTTCCATACACTTTTCCAAGCTTAATTTTGTGACATGAACATTTCCCACAAACACAAACTCCTCGACCACTGCAAACAGGTTGATCCTTGTGTGACTTGCAACTCTCAGAAGAAAACTGATCTTCATCAAAATGACATTTATTCTCATCACACTGGAAGCACTTGGAATCTAGAAAAGTTTCATCTACACACTTTCCTTTAGGTCCTCTGTTGTCCTCACACTGACAGCTGCAGTTTCTGTGTATATGAATTTTAGCGGTTTCATTAAAACCAATAGGTTTGATTATTGCATAGTTTTTTCCTCCTGTGACATCACATTTTTTCATTGTAACTGTTACATTGAAAAGAACCTAAATTTAGGAGGAAAAAGGAAATATATTTACATACCTTAATTATTTTTATTACTAATATTATATCTGTTAATAACTGAATTGATAAGAAACCATCTTAGAGAAATTAAAAATATTTGTAAAATAAACACATGTAATCACTTTCATATACATGCAACATCTCTTTTTAATGTCATTTATTCTCCAACTAATGAACTTGAGAGTTAAAGAATATAATGACTGCTAATCCCTATATTGCACCATTAAATAGACTTGAGTGCAAGCCTTTTTGAAGCGTCTACCCCATCACTGATGATTAATTTCTTAGCAAACATAAGAAAGAATAGACCATTTTCTAAATTCAGCCATTAAAATGTGGGGTATTGAATATTTGACACTAGAGATAGATCACATAAACCAAAGTAAAGGGCTTCTGCTCTACTGGTTTAAAACCCTGAGATGAGACCTGGCGTGGTGGCTCACACCTGTAATCCCAGCACTTTAGGAGGTCGAGGGAGTTGGATCACCCGAGGTCAGAAGTTCGAGATCGGCCTGGCCAACATGGTGAAAACCCATCTCTGCTAAAAATTCAAAAATTAGCTGAGTGTGGTGGCATGAACCTGTAGTCCTAGCTACTTGGGAGGGAGGCTGAGGCAGGAGAATCACTTGGATTGCAGTGAGCCGAGATCGCACCACTGCACTACAGCCTCAGTGACACAGCGAGACTCCATCTCATAAATAAATAAATAAATAAAAGATTTTAAAAACCCTGAGGTAAGATGTTCAAATGAACAATTTTAATTTTGTTCCTATTTTCTAGGAGCCCAAGTAAAGTTTCAGAGTTACATTTTAGTTTATACAGGGTTTCAGTGGAGGAAAACATGTGGCTTTCTGTGATGTTACTCAAAATAAAATTGTTTAGGACTCTCATTCTCAAATCTTAAGACCTCAGCACAGGTCATCTGCTTGTCTCAGTGGAAAAAGATAGCCCAGAACTAAGGAGCTGGGCTGGCAGGAACTGGTCAAATGTTTTCTTTTTCTCTATTTCTTCTTTTTGCACAACACAATTGATTTAATATGTCTATTTATATTTATTGGCTCACCTTACCATCTTTAGGTACTTTGGTAAATAAGGTATATTTATTTCATGTTGGATTGAGATCCATTGCAATTTAAAATTAATTTGTGCTGAGCTTTTTGGGTGGAATATGTGTCTATGATACAATAATATAAAGTATCTAAATTTGGCTTATATATACATGAAACACTAGAATTTGTTCCGTAATATTAAAATCAATACAGTTGGTGTTATACTTAAAATGCTTTCGTCTTTGAGAATGCTGAGGCTTAACAGATACGTAAGTTAATGTGGCCACTGCCATCTCTAACAGTAGATCATACTCTGGGGTTTCCATAACTAAGAGGTCATATGACTATTCCTGAGAGTTAAACTATTTAAACCACTCAATTGAAAGTGAAGGAAAGATGGCATGTAAGCAAATGAAAAGAAAAAAACAGTGTAACAGGTAAGAAAAACCACTCTTCCAAAATGAGATTTTGAAGGAAATAACTATTTCTAAGACAGTAGCCGTTTTTTCATAAAGTAACTTAGTGCTATATTTGCTAGTAAAAAGTTTTCTCTGTAGTTTTAATGAAAAGCCAAAGTGTATTTTGCAAAATATGATATCCTTTGAACAAAATCCATGGAGTGATCATAGAAGAAACCACAGAATTAGAAACTGGCAATAATTAATTTAAAATATACAGCTCTAAAATTCCTAAGATAGAAAAACATATTCTAACTAAAGAGAAGACAGGATTCTCTTTTATTCATTTTTAGAATCTTCTATCACGTTCAATAACTTTTTCTTTTTTTCTATAGCATGACATTACATAATTAATCATCATAGAACTTCAAAGGAAAAGGGGTTGGAAATCTTCTAGTTCAAGTCATTCATTTAAAAATGAGACAATGCCTCATGACATAAATGACTCACTCAAAATCACTTCACCCAACAAAGACTCCCTTAAAGAGTATGTTTCTTTGTGTTACTCTTTCTATTGTGCCAATCCTTGGAGAATCTCTCTCTCCTCTGGTGCTGTTTCCTGATACTGTTACAATCTGGATCTCTCTCCATTCTTTTTTGGTAAATGATGGCTCTTCTCATTTTGTATTGTTTTTAACAAATTTCCCTACCTCCTTGTAGATAATTTAGATAATTATGAGTGTATTGGGGCAATCACAAAGTGAAAGATTTTGAAATTCTTAGCCTTTATCAACTGCTCTATCATTCCCATTCTTTTCTGTGGTATGTGACTTTAAATTTCACATTACTTTGAGACTTTGTGAATATGAAACCAAAAAGGCATTATCATTATTATAAGTATAGACACTACTTATTTGAGAATAAATGATTTCCTAATTTATGCTGGTCATGACACCTAAGTTTAAAGTTACTATTGATAAATAATTGTTTAATATTACACACACATGCACATTGAAAGTGAAGGAAAGATGGCATGTAAGCAAATGAAAAGGAAAAAACAATGTAAAAGGTAAGAAAAACCATTCTTCCAAAATGAGATTTTGAAGGAAATCACTATTTCTAAGACAGTAACCGTTTTTATACATATTAAAATGTATAGGTTTTATACATATTTTATACATACAGGTTTTATACATATTAAAACCTGAGAGTTGGAGAGAACAATAGCTAAAACAAAGAGGAACTTTGGAGGAGAGACAATGAAAGTTACCTTGAAGTATAAATAAGATTCTTAGAGGCAGTAGTAAGTAAAATGTTTCAGAATGGTTTGACTTTTCTGTAAGAAAATATGCCAAGCAACTTAGTTTATTTTAAAAGGGAAAAATGCACACCCACATACTTCATGGTTGCTTGTCACGTTTCTGCATCCCTCCATGCCTGGCTTTCTGGACCCATCTGGACAGATGGCCGTAATGTTAAAATAGACACCTTGTACCTGGTTTTCCACATGAACTTTCACTTCTGAAATGAGCTTCTGCAGAGACATTATTTTTAAATTACATACGAGAGTAGTTTCAAATGTAAGCAACAAAGCAGAGTCAAGCTTACTAAATCATTATAGATTTCATTTTAACTAGATCAAAGAGTCTGTTTCTATAAAAGGATGAATAAAAACAGTGTTTCCACATAAAGACCCAATTGTATTTGAAATACATAAGAAATACTGAAGGATTCGATTATCTGCATTCAAATTATTCTATTTTTTTACATATTTCCATGACTGCACTTTGAGCCCTTCAAAGATATTTATCAGTCTGTTAACAAAATAGCCATTTTTAATCCAGTAATAACTATATTTTATGATAAAGTATAATTAAACATTGAGAACACATATATCATCATAAAGGGTAAATCTTGACACCTGCAAATGTAGAAAATGCTTCTGTCATATAAAGCTGCTAAAGAAATATTTTTTGTTTCAAACAATTGAGACTATCATGATAGCTAAAATGCCTTATTGACGCAGAATTGACAAGTACATTTTAGGAAGGCCATTTCTACACTGAAGGAGCAAGAATTACCTAACAGATATGGTTCTATGTGGTTCTATAAGGTTCTCCAAGAATGGCTTAGAATTTTTCCCAAGTCCCTGGGACTTGTTTGTGTCAGCCAAGATTGCTGCAATCTTTAATATCAAAATAGGGCCTCTTACTGGGCAGAAAACCATTCATTCATTCATTTATTCACCCATGTATACACTCATTCAATAAATATCTATTTAATGCTTATTGTGTGGCAGGCACACACTAATTTCTTTCTTTATGATCTTCGACTTCCAAAGGATCTAGCTAACTTTAATGTATGCTTCAGATCTGTGTGCACTTTATTCCATACAACTGAGTCTACCACATGCAAAAATCCTTCACTTGTAAAAAAAAAAAAAAAGGAAAAATGAAGTATGTACCTAAAGAAAAGAGCAAGCAGCTGGTTATGAAAAGAAAAATAATTTCCAGTGGCTTCTAATTCTTTACTTGAGTGATTTCTCTTCTTCAATGGTATAATCAACATAGAAACACGTGCTTACTGACAAATAATCATGGAATTCTGGCAGCATATCTTTAGAACAAGAGACTTTCCTCTAATTTCTCAATGTAAATATTATTTACAGTAGGTAAGACTATGTCAGTCACATTTTTTTTGTCTTCCAGAGAGCTCATAGATACTGCAACAATTAATTGTATAATTTTGGTAAATCAATAGAAACTTCCAGTGGTATACAAGGATGTTGATATGTGGCAACCAGCAGATCAGAAGGAAATGCCTAACACAATGAACATCCTCAGTTTACCCTTCTAAAATTCTGCTTCTCTTAAGATCTTAGTTGGCCTGGTGTGGTGGCTCATGCCTCTAATCCCAGATCTTTGGGAGGCTGAGGCAGGTGGACTGCTTGAGGTCAGGAGTTCCAGACCAGCATGGTGAAACCCTGCGTCTACTAATAATACAAAAATTAGCCGGGTGTGGGTGGCACATGCCTGTAATCCTAGCTACTCTGGAGCTTGAGGCAGGAGAATCACTTGAACCTGGGAGGTGGAGGTTGCAGTGAGTCAAGATCTCGCCACTGCACTCCAGCCTGGGCAAGACAGAGTGAAACTCCATCTCAAAAAAAAAAAAAAAAAAGAAGAAGAAGAAAAGAAAAAGATCTTTGCTAGTTAGGCCAATGTTTTTCAAGCCTGAAGTGAAGACAAATCCTTACATTTTTGCCCATTTTGGGGATTCAGAAATTCATAATCTTAAGCTTCCCTTTTAGTATCTAGTAGGTACAGAGGCAGATTCTATATAATTCTTCAATGGATTGTGAATTGATTCTGTTGGACTGTGAACACAAAATGAAAGTTTAGAAGATTTTTGATAATATAAACATATATAAAATAATAACAGAATTCCAACTTAAGAAGAGTAGTTAGCCACAGTAAGTTTTTGTTGGATTTAATATCATTTTTCCAATGTTTAAGGTTTTCCACTGTTTACAGTGGGCTAAGGCATTGCATACCTATGCTAGGCAAAATAACCAAATGTTGCTATCTCCTTTGCCACTGGGCAGTCTGACACACAGGTAAAAATCTGTCAGTTTATATACTTTGTTTGGAGTAATAAACGGGTTCATACTAAAGAATTTAGGGTGGTTTCTAACAGCATAAGCTTTTCTCTTATTTTGATTATTTTTGGGAACAGACTACGGATGGGAACGAATTGTAGACACATTGGATTTTCTGTGATAAGTCCCTCTTCAGTCTCACTGTTCTTTTCTTTTGTAACAGTCAGAAAGATGTAACTTAAGATGCTCTTCCTTATTTTACTCAGCATACTTTTCAGACATAGAAAACTATACTCAGAGAAAACAAATCAAGCAAGATTTATTTTCCTTTTAGAAGTTGAAAGTTTAAACAAGTTCTTCATTTTATATCTTGTGTCTACTTCCTGCCTTTCTCTTTCGTGCCCAAGCTAAAGGCAGGTGCGCTGTCTGGAGAAAATGAGAAGAGAAGCCAGAGTATTTTCCACAATGCTTTGGCTACAATTTAACTATTAAACGCTACATGTCAGGAAGGGCATCAGAGGATTTGGGAAAGTGAGACTTTATAGTTGGCCCATAAATTCAAGGTAGCATAAAGCATATCTTTTGACACACTGTAAAACAATGAAAAACAGGTGGTATCACACAGGAGGAAGCACCTGAGGCTTGAAGTAAAGGAATACCTGGATTCGGATCCCACTTTCTTCTGCTTATTAGTTGAACAACCTTTGATGAGCTTGTTTCACTTTCTCAAGTCTTGGTTTCTACTAATATACAACGTGGGTACTAACCACCTGCCTTATAGATCAGGTGTGTGGACTAAATGAGGTCATGTATGGAAAGTGACTGGATCTTAGTGGTAAAAAAGTAGCAGTCACTATTATTGCAATGTCTTAACAGAGGTTGTTCTATTCAGGAATGATCCAGGTTGAAAGAACAGATGTTCCTTTAAATTCTTTGCATTGAGGCATTCACTCTTCATAGGACTGATGACAGCATACAATGATGAACTCAAGAAAATAGAATATCCACTAAGGTGATTCTTTTAATCAAACTCTTTTGATAAAACTGCTAAAATAATTGTTGAACAATCAAGTGGTTGATCATAGAGACCCCAACACAGTCCTCTTAATAATTGCTGTATCCCAGATAGTTCAACTTCCCTGGCAGATTATTGCCTTATGTAACTGTGGACTTCTACTTTATCATTATGGGATAGGAAATGATGCAATTTCATGGTAATAAAGTACATTCTATAGCTAAGACTTGATGATTCACTGAGCATTGGATGTAGAAGGAAATTTAGATAGCCTCTAGCCCAATCTTCATTGATTGTCAATGAGAAAAGTGAGGCACAGAAAGTAGAAATGACTTTCCCAAAGCAAAAAGCCAGTTAGTGGTAGGGCCAGGGATGAACGTCAGATTCCTAATTCCTAATCTAAAATGCTTTCTACTTCTCCTCTCAAGATGACATAGCACTACTTTGTACCTCGCCACAGAAATTGGTGTAAAAATTTTATTTTAAAAATTGTATATAATATATACATACCTGATAGGCTTCCACTACCAAATTATTGAGGTTTGCAGCCTTTGATTCTATTTCACCAGCAATGGTGCCCGGCAAGAGGGGTAGAAGATCCTATTAAACATATGAGTAGCATTTAAAGAATGACAATAGTATGTAATGGGTTAGCAACCAAAAAATAGTAAATATTTTTGTAGTTATCAGTTGAAGGTGAACAATTAAATGAATGAAAACATATAAGACACAAGAAAAATATAAGCAATCTAGTAGAGCAGCCAGAACATATACCCATGTAGTGGTTGTGTGTGTCTGTATATGTGCATGACTGTGTGTGTGCATCCGGAATCACTGTACATGACAACCTAAAAATCCAATCGAAATGCAGATGAACATCTCCCACACATCTTCCATGGAATGTAAAACTCAAGAGATTTTAAGCATACAAAAGGTTTTGAGGGGAAATAAGCTTGGGAAGTTCTGCGTATGGTTTCTTCCACTTAGAAACATAAAATGCACATTTGCAACTTAAAAGGTTCAGAGTAGGTCTGCAATTTGGAAATGATTTAACACTATTTAATGAAGCACTTCCCAAAACTTCTTCAGTTAGGAAAAATCATAGTCACAAGTGGAAACTTCATGGGGTATGTGTTCTTGATGGATGTTGCTTATTAATTATGGAGAAGACCGTAGGTATTTTTAGGGAGAATGAGCAAAGGCTTAAAGGTCTACATGAATTGAAGATGAAGCAAAAATAGAAAAAAAGTCAATCTGAATAAAGGGCACATATTTATAGGAAATCAAATGGTAAAAAGTTTTGAAATCCATTTATTCTTGCATTTTTTCTATTCACAAATATCCTTAAGTTCCTTCTGGATGCCAGTCATTACTTAGACACTAACAATTTGGTATCTCAAGTCATAAGGAAAAAATTATCATTTATAGATTTTAAAAATTTATTTACTAGACTTTTATTGAGCTCCTACTTTATACACACTTTGGAGATGCCAAATCACTAGGTCACATAGTTTCCACCCTTAAGGATCTCACAGGCATATAAATGACAATTTCACTAAACACTGTACATGTGAACATGTGAAACAATAGAGATGTGCACAGACCCTAATGAGAGGGATACCTGGCAAGCATTTGAGATCTGGGGAAAGTTGCCAAGGACTATTTCCTGGAGGAGGTGAATTATAAGCTATGTCTTAAAGTATGAGAAAGAGTTAATAAAGTAATGAGGAAGAAGGACTTCCAGACATGAGAGGCGAGGGTGAGCAGCAAGAACAAAGGCAGAGAGGAAAGAAACAGCCTGGCTGAGTGCTTAGGCACAGGAGGATTAGAAGTGTGGCTGAGAGATGAGAAGCATCCCTGCAAGGCAAGGAACAGTGGGGCAATGAGGCCAAAAAGGCAAGCGGAGACCACATGGCCTTATGTGCCACCTTAGAGATTTGGTCTTCTAGTTCAGAGGGCACCGCTGAAACCTTTTACTCAAGGGAGTACTGTGGTCACACTGTGTTTTCAACAGATCATCCTGGCAGCCAGATGGAGGATGGATTACGGAGATCAGCCATGAGGTTGTTAGAACCCAGGTGAAGGGTGATTGATAAAAAAGATCTCTAGGCAGTCAAAGGAGGTGACTATAAAGGGCATGCATGGGGCTCACACTGGAGCCAGTTGATTCTAATATTGTGCATAATTCAATTAATAACAAAAAACCTGGTTTTATGGTTTATCAGTTAATGGCAAATTTTTAAAGGAATAGGAATAAACTGCTAGAGCCAATAATGCTACCAAGAAATAATGTTAGAGAAACAGCAAAGAGGACGCAAAAGCTATGAAAAGCTGCACGGTATTTCAAAGCCAACTGTTAAGCTTAGAGGTTAAGAGCAAAGGATTTGGGTTGTTAGAAACCCTTGGGTAAGTATTTAATCTCCTAAAATATGGTTCCTTATCTTTAAAATGGGCATATTAAGATGACTGCCCTCATTTTTATGAGTTGCTAAAAGGATTAGATTAATAAATGTTTACAAACTCAATCCCTGACAATAGTTAAGTACTCAGTAAGTGGAAGCTGTTATGATTGTTAATAAAGTGGTTTGGGCCATTTAATTTTGACCAGAGTCCTACTTCTGCAGATGTTAGTTTGTTGTTGCCTTAAAATGTGATTCCATGGTATATACATTTAGGAAAACAAGAAATTAAATAAAGTTTCACTAAGTCAGACACAGAAAGAAAAATAGCACATGTTCTCACCCATAAGTGGGAGCTAAATAATGTGTATACATGATGTGGAATGATAGATAATGGAGACTTCGAAGGGTGAGGGCCTGGGAGTGGGATGGATGATGAGAAATCACTTAATGGGTACAATGTGTGCTATTCGAGTGATAGACACTCTGAAAGCCCTGGCTTCACCACTATGCAATCTACACATGTAACAAACTTGCATTTGTACTCCATACATTTACCCTAAATAAATAAAGCTTCACCATAGGTTTCTAAGGGAAGAAGTGTTGTGATTAAAGTAGTGCTTTCAGATGATAAGGTAGGTAGGTAATAGGGAAACTGGTAGAGGGAACACCAGCTTGTGGCAAATCCAAATGGGTTCAAGTATTTATTGAAGCCAAAAAAAATGCACTTTCTCTGCAGTTTTAAAAAATAAGTAGAGGGCACTGGGGACTGGCCACTGAGGGGAGATGTATAATTAGGGAGTAGATGGGAGAAGCAAAGATAGCAAAGGAGAGGAAGGAGACCAAGTGAACAGAGATGCATAATGAAAATTAAGGTGTCATAGCTTCATGAAAATGAAAACAAGAGAGTTTCTAGGAAGAAAGAGCCTTAAAGACTGTGAAAAGAAAGCTACAGCAGCATTGCAGAGAAACAGTTCTAGGCTGAGGGATCCGTGGCACCTCCAGTGTGACACAGCTGCTTTGTTTTGCTTGAGGGTCTCACCTGGCCCAAAGGACTCCAGGCACCACCAAGATTATTCTTATGTCACCAAGGCTTTGACTGGCTCAGCCACTTCCATGGCCCTTTTTGGTCCATTATTGAATGACCTAGACCAAAGCTAGGTGTGTCAGTGCTATTGAGAATTAAGCTGATATTCTCCAACTTTAACCTATTAGGAGGTTATGCTCATGGACCAGAATAAGAAGTACTCTAGACATGCAAGATGCAAAGATGGATTGTGAACTACTTTTTTCCTGGTAAGGCTTCTCCACTATTGCCACATTTGAGACCACCCTAAGCATCAAGTTGCGCTCAAGTGTACCGAATACAATTCTCAGTTCTCAGATTCAGTTCTAGATGTTACAAACCTAAATAGAATTTATACTTAAATGCTAAGTTAAGACATTGTAAAGGATACTTCAGTAATACAATATAGAATTTAGATTGTACAAAGTATAATAATTCCAGAATCCTTATCTGTGGCTCTAAAGAAAGTCTTAATTTCAATTACCAATGAAAAAAATTTAATTTTCACATTTTCGGAGTTAACATACCTTATACCAATGAAATTGTTTTCCTTGAACTGCAAAGATGACATTAATGTTGTTGTCTATTAATTTCTCTGAAAGTTGGCCTAGTGAGGGATGTTCCTGTAATGAATAATAAAATAAATAAGGGAGTGAAATTTCATAGCTCCATCCTATTCAAACATCTATTATGAAGAAAACTGTATGACTTACATAAAAATGTACCTGGGAAGGACTATGGTTTTACTAGAGACATTTAAATTTTTAAAAAACATAACATCAATATCCATGTATTAAAATATTTTATAGACAAAAGTCCCATAAAAACCTGTAACTTAAAAAGATGAAGAGAGCTGAATGCAACATAACTAACAAAGAGTGATCAGCATCTCTTTAGATTAACATTGGACTCCAAGTGATGTAACTGACAGATAATTTAATATTCAGAAATAGAGACACGTTAGTGACAATCACATTCTAAGGTGAAATTCAGTAACAAATATTGAACTGCAAATATATATGCATGTGTGTATATATATGCCTATAAACATATATATACACATACACATTGAAACATCCAGATATACCTATATATACACATTTGATATACAGCATGATATAGTTATATAACATATATATATGTTATATATATATAAAACATGATATAATAACTCTCTTTAGAAGCAGAAAACTCTCTACTCAACTCCTAGGTTTGTCACCTTACAACAAAAGTTCTCAGTTCCATCCTCTGTAACATGTGAATGATACCTGCCTGCCATGATTGCTCGCAAGATTAAAAAGATAATAGCAGTATGTGAACTCTTTAGTGCATTTTCTTGCATGCAGTAAATGATCAAAACTAATACCAATTCTGATTCTTATTTCAATTGCTTATACAAGGTATAGATTACAGATGTCTCAACTTATCATTATGCTCAATATTTTTGTTGTATGATGTACTTTAAACCTGCTTTACTTTGATAAATAAAATTTATGTTGTGCCATCTGTGCCACTCTCTGTGGTAATGAGAAAGTTACAGAAGAGTAGGAAAATTGGAATAAAATTTAGTTTAGAGAACGTGAGAAATCTGATGATTATATAAATTGCTATCTACAGTTATGTAGTTAGATGTATTATTGGTAATTTTTTTTTCTATAAATACTTTTCTAGAAATTAAAATGATTGTCTCAAATAACAAGTTCATAGCTAGATACCTATCAGAGAGATGATGTTAAAGTTCACTGGTAGTAGTCTCTCCTCATTCACTGGTGCCTAATGGCATAAGCCAAAGATTAGTATGCAACTGAACCCAATTAGTATCATAACATTTAAGTACAAATTACTCCATAGTTTTTGCTTCCCAATTCACTCTCCAATGTTGACTGTATTTTCTTTAAGGAAAAATCCTGTTAAACCATCTTGGTAAACATTTCTGTATTGTGGCAACTATGTGAACTTGGTAAAAGAGCTAAATTAGCTAGTTTCACTTATAACGTAAGTTCTAAGTAACAACACTTTATTTCTCTATCATCTATACTTGTTGCCATAGAAACAAATCAAATTTTCATGAGTTGCCTTTACACATGATATGAAACCAACTAATAAAGAAACTTAAAAAGCATTAACACGTGGGTCTGCATAAGAAAAGTTTTTCTCAGAGCAATTCTTATGAATATAAATTTAAAGCAATGGGAAAAAAAAAACTCCAAAAACACAAATTCTACCAGCTAAATTCTTATTACTTGTTCCTAATAAAAGGCATAACCTTAAAATAGATTTATGACAGTTTGCATAATGCTAGTGAATAAAGAGAACAAGTAGAGGCAAGGTAAGTCTAGCTGTATTGGAAATATTTTTTAATGGCAACAACTACTTTTCAAGTATTTTTGCTTTGAGAAAAGATAGTCACAGCTTGCCAAGCATTCACCTTCTTAATTTTTAGAAACATTTGCATTTTAACAAAAATTTAATACATGTTTTCAACCAGCTTTTACTTAACTCACATAAAATCAATATTTAAATGGCACTCTAAAATGTAAGCAGCTTTCAAAGACTTCTTAATCTCTTTCCCTCTCCAAAAACGGGAAGTCACTTTGACCAAATAAACACAAAACTTAAATCTGGAAAGTTCTAGTTTGGTCAGAAGCTTATTAAGAAGATCAGTCATGGTCATTAGAGAAATGCAAATCAAAACCACAATGAGATACCATCTCACGCCAGTTAGAATAGTGACCATCAAAAAGTCAGTAAACAACAGATATGGGAGAGGATGTGGAAAAATAGGAACACTTGTACACTGTTGGTGGGAGTGTAAATTAGTTCAGCCATTGTGGAAGACAGTGTGGCGATTCCTCAAAGATCTAGAATCAGAAATACCATTTGACCCAGCAATCTCATTACTGGGTATATACCCAAAGGATTATAAATCATTCTACTATAAAGACACATGTATTGCAGTACTGTTCACAATAGCAGACTTGAAACCAACCTAAATGTCCATCAATGATAGACTGGATAAAGAAAATGTGGCACATATATACTAAGGAATACTATGCAGCCATAAAAAAGGATGAGTTCATGTCCTTTGCAGGGACATGGATAAAGCTGGAAACCATCATTCTCAGCCAACTAACACAGGAAAACAGAAAAACAAACACCGCATGTTCTCACTCATAAGTGGGAGATGAACAATGAGAACACATGGACACAGAGAGGGGAACAACACACACCAGGACCTGTCGGGGGGTGGAGGAGCTAGAGGAGGGATAACATTAGGAGAAATACCTAATGTAGGTGACGGGTTGATGGGTGCAGCAAACCACCACGACACGTGTATACCTATGTAACAAACCTGCACATTCTGCACATGTATCCCAGAACTTGAAGTATAATTTAAAAAAAAGGAAAAAAAAAGATTAGTCGAATTTTCAAGCCTAAAAAAACAGATTTTTCGAGCCCTAGAGAGAAATCTCTTTTAAAAGAGAATTCCAAGTACCTCAAGGCAGATATTTAAAAATTACAAATGTATAACAGATGTTTAAGTAAACCACTGTTGACAGGAGACCTGTGGATTAATGACCATTGCCTAAGCCCCTTCCCCTTTCCTTCATGAAGCAGCGTATCTTCAAAAAAGTATTTTATCTTTTATGTCTTTTATTTCACTAGCAGGAGACATGTTCCCTCTCAGCCAACTCTCCTGTTCTGGTGACGTCACTGCTCCTGAACTCCAACTCCCTCTCTGTCTAACCCATTACATGTTGTTTCTGTAAACTCTGAAAATAATTAGTAGAGATAACAAGCACTTCGGGGTAAAAGGGAGAAGGAAAGCAATATGCCAAGACAGCTGCTAAGTAATTAAGGCTGTGGGAAGTAACTTATAAATGTCAGAAGGAAAGAAGAGGTAAGAAGGATTCACTGGGGGCAATTTTGGGTAAGGAGATAACTGTGTACAGATGTATGGTAGAATTTTAATAATGTGTATATCTAGGTGGATAAAAAGCATTTAAGATTCTCTTTACACAAGTGAGATCCATAATACAAATTTTTATAATAGAATATATAAAATTTGCAGTATGGAATATTGTAATAAGATATAAAAACCAAACAGCTTAAATAAAAACCTCCATTATCTGCATGAGTTTTTAGAGGAAAGAGGCATATAGCACAGAAGTAATCAGATAGTAGAGATTTATTTGGAGATGAAACTTCAAATGATGTGTCAGTCAACAACTGTCCTGATAGTTAAATCTTTTATCTACATAGTTGTACCGTGATAACTGCATAGACCAGGGTTTCTCAAGAGTGATGCTATTGACGGTTTGGGCTGGGTATATTTTTTATTTGACAAAGGGGCTGTCTTGTGCATTGTAGGATGTTTAACAGCACCCTGGTCTCTCCACAATAGGTGCCAGTAGCACCTCTTTCCATAGTTATGACAGCCAAAATGTCTCGGGGCCTGAAATTGTCCTCTGGAGGGTAAAATCGCTCCAGCTGAGAACCACACCACCAGCACGGACTCTGGAACAGATCACCTGGGCTTCAACTTCTGGCTCTGCGATTACTAGCTATGTGACACTGGGCAGCTGTCTGAACCTTTCTGGGATTCCGTTTCCATAGGTATAAAGCACATATAAACACTAGTATCTACCATTCAGATGGTGGAGATTTAATAGGTTAACTTCATAAAGCCTTCACTTACCATTCTGTAGTTATTAAGACCAATGATGAGTAGTGTTTCATGTTACACAGCTTAGAGTCTACTATGGGAACTGCTATATAGGGGTGTGTGACTCCAGACAAGATGCTGACCCCTTTAGCATCTTTTCCCCTCCTCATTTATAAAGCAGAAGTAAAGCAATAGCTACATTTCACTGGAATGTTGGATGGTGTTAAATGAACATAAAGAGACAAACACCGTAGGTCTGCTCAAGAAAAGACAGTTTTTAACAAATAACTGCTTAATAAGAGAGATTTGGAGGCATTTCTTAAAGGCAAGATATGCTCTTGGATGTGCTTTCCTTGACCTATGTCACTTGCTTATCTTTCTTACCTGGCCCTGGAGATATTTGAGTTTGCGGCTCCTGGCAAATACGACATCAGTTGTAATCATGATACTCTATTTACTGAAGAAGGGTATGCATTGATGATTTTTGTAAGTTTTTCAATAATAATGGCAACAAAAAGGTTTACCCAAAATATCTAATTTAATGGGAATATTCTATTCTATAAAAATTTTTATCAAATTTGAATTTTATTGTGTCACTTTTGCAAACCATAATTTTGCCCCATTTGAAAGGCAAACAAGCAGAGCCAGGCTACTTTGAGTCTGCCACAGGTGATTTCTACATGCAATTTTGCTTTCAATTAAAACAATTCCAACTAAATATTGTTTGCAGAGATTCTTTCCAGGCCACTTTTTTTGAGAATATGAGAAGCATTCAAATTAGTTCTCCTATAAAAGTACTATTTAAATGTTCTCAGGTCAGGCTCAATGGCTCACGCCTGTAATCCCAGCACTTTGGGAGGCCAAGGCAGGTGGATCATGAGGTCAGGAGATCGAGACCAGCCTGGCTAACACAGTGAAACCCCATCTCTACTAAAAAATACAAAAAGAAATAAAAAAAATTAGCTGGGCGCGGTGGTGGGCGCCTGTAGTCCCAGCTACTCAGGAGGCTGAGGCAGGAGAATCGCTTGAACCTGGGAGGCGTAGGTTGCAGTGAGCCAAGATCGTGCCACTATACTCCAGCCTAGGTGACACAGTGAGACTCCATCTCAAAAAAAAAAAAAAAAAAAAAAATTCTCATGGTGTTTACAATTTGAAGCAGATCATTCAGCAAACTGAAATCGGGTACTTCATAGTTTTTAAAGGCCCCAAAAGATGGAACAATCGTTTTTAAAAGCTGCACATGGACTTAAAACTTTCTAGTTGTTTCAAGTTGAGCACAAAATAAGTGTTCAATGAATTTGCATTTTTATTAGTATGTGTCTGAGACAAAGAAGTTGAGAAGCAGAGGAAGAGAGAGATTTAACATTTTCTGAAGTAGAAAAGGCCGTGTCTCCGTCGGGAAACAGCAAACAAAATTAACGGATCTCTTTATTAAAAGATCACAATTATCTCCTCACATGGAATTCTGTCTGAAATCAACATTAGTTATAAATGTCTTCCAGACTTTGAAAATGTCAGAAATATCCCTTTCAGAAGGAATAAATGTAGCAGCTTTATGAACGTTTGTTAACTCTGGTAGCAAAGTTATGGACTACATTAGCAAAGTAGCTTCTTAAGCTCCTTTATTCATCTGCAGTCCTGGAAAAATTAAGTATAATTCCAAGTAGTTAAGATTCATAGTCAAAAGAAAGCTTCCTAAATGGCATACTTAAAAGTCAAGTACATGTTAAAGTTGCATGAGGAGAGGCACAGTGTTGACTATTTTTATTTTTGCCAGTAAGAAAGCAAAACTGTTCTGTAATGCCTAATAGGCCTTCTGCAATTCTGCCTCCGTACTATAAGATGCTGATCTACTCAGCAGCTAGTCTATCAAAATGAGCCTGCAGGAAAAGGAACCAACTATGAAGCCAGCAGTAAGGGGATTCTGAGAAGATATATGATAGCAGGGATAAAGAATCACTGGCCATAATGTGATGAGGCATATAAAAGGCTGCATGGAAAAACACTAAGCCTAAACCAGTAAATACTGGTGAATATATGGTATGCACTCGTACATGCAACAGGAATGTGGTAGGATCTTGCCAATTTGAATCTCGCTGTTTAAAACTGTGAGTCACATCAGCATCTGAAAATCCCATTGATAAGATTCATTGGATGACCTCCACATACTTGTTCCTTGGTGTCCTTTCATTGTTACTGAAGACCTTCATGCTATTCTTGGCCTCCACCAAGGGGTGGGTGATCAGTTTCTGGGAGGGCTCTGACTAAGGGTGGAAATAACCCTGGAGAAGCTGGGTGGGGAGACAGGGTGAAATTCCAGATCCTAAGTATTAATAATCTACTACACCATTAATAATTTTTGTATTAACATCTGCCATTTTAGAAAGAATGTCACATTTCAAATTGTCATTATTACCGGATAAATTATAAAACTATATTACTGCTAAAGTTTTTTTATTCTGGCACTTGATCTTGAAGAAAAAGCAGTGGAAAATGTAATTTATTCAATAGTGTAACATCATTTGCCAGAACCATATACAAATATCACAATGTATAAATATAAATTATTTTATATTACATAGTGTTTTATAACTTATGCAAGTCAAATCATCTGGTTATACTTTCATAAGTAAGACTGCAACCAGAAAGACAAGAAACGACAATAGGAACATTATTTTTCTTTTTCTTCTACGTTTCAGTCGACAGACCATGGCAAAGAATGCAGATTTTAATATAAGATTGAGACGGATTGGGGTCAGCTCTGCAATTTATTAATGTTTTAGCTGTTTATCCTCAGGCAACTTACTTAGCTTTTCTGACCCTCAGTCCTTCTATTTGTAAAAGGAGGCTAACTGTAACTACCTTATAGAGTTGTTGTAAAGATAAATTTGATGTTGTATGCAGAGTGATTGCTATAGTGCTTTCAGTTGAATACATACTCAATAAAATGGCAGTTTTTATTAGTCTAGGGTTCACATTGACCTTCAGGAAATAGTTATATGTATAAGCAACAGAACTCTGTCCCATGTAATTTAGATATATAAAGGGTTTTTTAAAATCAATTATTTCCTTTCATAAATACAAAGCCCAAGAATCTTGGTTCAGAGTCTTGAACCAAGAAGCTCAGATAGCATTCAACATTACTGGCATCGGCTGCTGGAGATAAAGCCAAGAAGCAAAGTGTTTGATTACTTGTCTTATACAAAATTTAAAATTCCTCCATAATGGCCAAATGGGGGAGGATAGAGGTCATTTTAAAATGCACAAATAAATATGCCTAGAGTCAAAGTCAAGGTAGCTTTCAATACAGAAGGTTCCAAAGCAGTAGCACATCTTGAATATATAAATTCGTGGTCAAAAGATCAATCAAAATGCTTCAGCTTCTTTTACCTAATATGTAGGCAGTGACCCTACAAATGAAGGGAATGAGAATTTTTAGGAAGATAATTTCTTGAAACAAAGACCTGGGGTAAATAAAATAAAAGTATCCTTCTAAGATGTTAACAAACACATTATTCCTTGGATTACTCAATATACTATAGCAGTGACATGTGAAGGGGTCATTCCTTTAAATACTGGGAACAATGACCAAGAAGGTAAGAGAAGTTATCGATGTAATCATCCAATTTCCTGATGACATAAGAATCCAAGCCCTATCTAAAATTCGACTGGACTTATAACTTATTTCCATAAGGTTCTATAACATGATATATGTCTGAAATTATTACAGCATTTCTTTGCCTAGGAAATCCTCCCTAGATGAGCAATAGTATCCTTTCAAATACAATTATGGAGAGATGACTTCAATGACTTGGCAAAACTCCCAAAGAATAATACAATTTGAGAATAATGTCATTGTTATTTCTTCTTAAAAAATAAAAACCTTCTCTTTGTCTCACAATAGAATAATTCTTCCTGTACCCTCTCCCACTCCTCAATAAATAAATTAGAACCCTATCACCGATCAAAAGAGGTTAAATAGAAGGAAATGTAGATAAGAAATGACTAAGTAGAAGTAGGTGGGTCTGTCAAAGTCAAATAAGGCTTAGTAGAAGAGAATTAGGGAAAGACGCTATTGGAATAACTCCAATTCTTGAATTTTTGAATTCAATCTCTAGTTACCTTTTAAAATGTTTATATTTTGATGCTACTTTCAAGAAACTAAAATGACCAAGGGTTGAACTTGTTTCATATGGTAATACAATTGCCACTCTAGAATTTCAACATATCTCGTAGGGTTTTGCAGATGGACTGGTGATCTGTTTAAAATTTATCCATGGGAACCACACAAATTTCAGCATAATTTTCATGCTTCTGATACTGTGATTCCCAAACTGCGTGTGGGGTGTCTTGGTGCACTGCAGCACACTCCCAAGGGTGGCAGGAAATAATTTAAATCTTCAAGAGAAATACAGTGACATTCAGCATGTATCAGGTACCAATGAAGAACTAGTTGGAGGGAGTTCATAGTTTTAAGTTTACATTCGGTCTTATTCTTTTAAATGACATTAATCTTTGCCGAGCTGGTCAACTTGAAAATCAACATGGAAGAAGAAATCAGGGTAGTGATGACCAGTCTTATTTCAGGATTTGAAAATTTCTCTTCGTAAGTTGCTTACTAAAACTGAAACATGTCTCTCTACATTTGATACATTTGTATTATTTTTAAGGAGCTACTAAGTTGTTAAGACAAAAATAGTTGGTTAAGACAAAAATAGTTGAGTTATTTGGACTTAACCACTTGAAAAACAGAACTATTAGGTATTTCTTTTGACCCATGAGTGTCATGGAATAAAATCACTGAGAGACTAAGGTCTCCTGAACTGAGAAAGTTGGAGAGGTTCTGTTTTAACATATGCAAGAATATATAAATAAGTGTCAACATCAGAAGTAAATGATGCTTTGGGCTGTTGATTCTTCACAACTAGAATTAGATAATGCCAGGGAAGATATGGTTCTAGGTGATTATATTAAATATATGATTCAGAGCTTATACTAACCCTCAGGAAGCAAGCCAGATAGTCACTGATTTAAAGAGACCTTAAATAGATAAGATGCAGAGAGAAGTAAGGTACAAAATAGAGAAAGCCTACTTTGTTTTACTCTCTTTCTCTCTTGTCTTTTTTCCTTGGTTTCTATTTAGTTTCTACCTACTGTACTGTGAGGTTTCCTCCTTAAAATGTTTGTAGATATTGACCCTGTACAACTGGTCTGTTTGTAAAAAGCAAAGGTATACTTTTTTCCCCTGTCCTAGAATTACATAAAAAGTAAAATCTTGTATCATTTTTATTTTCAAAAATTATACTGTGCTTTGTCATTCATCAAAGAGTCAGCTACTAGAAACTGTCAAAGTGTTTGATTCATACATTTTATTGATCAGTATTTATAGATTGCACTGTTCCATAAATTCTCTCTCATGGCTTATCCTTGTTTCTTTTTTAGGTAATTTCCTGGTACAAAAATAGTGGAGTTGCCAATTTAAAATTGTACTTTAACCAAAAGAGTCATATCTACTAAGGGGCTACTGCTACATTACCATGGTTGTCGATTTGACGTAGACGTTGTTTTTCAGATGGCAGTTTCCGTCATTGGGCACCACTATGCCTGCCAATTTGCTATCAAGAGCAAGATGAGATGTCTGATCTGTCATCACCAGCAGCAATCTTTTAGCCTCTTTTCGCCATCCAATATGACTCTTAAAAATAAACATGTAATTAGATTTTGTACAATAACATAGATCTGTACTGTGGTTTTTACCTCAAGTAAACATCATGTTTGAGTCGATGAACATTAAGTCAGGCTAGAACGATGTGCATGGGTACAACGCTGCTGCATAAATAGCTTTAACTTTCATTTGTACATCCTCTATTTTCCCACAGCCATGTGACCACACTAGTTCCTGGCTAGAGATGTCTAGTGTTCCAGTGGAGGAAGAATAAGATAGATTAAAAAGTAGGAGAGGCCGGGCGCGGCGGCTCACGCCTGTAATCCCAGCACTTTGGGAGGCCGAGGCGGGCGGATCACGAGGTCAGGAAATCGAGACCACCCTGGCTAAATAAAATTATTTAGTAGAAACCCCGTCTCTACTAAAAATACAAAAAAAAAAAAAAAAAAAAAAAAAAATTAGCTGGGCATGGTGGCAGGTGCTTCTCAGGAGGCTGAGGCAGGAGAATGGTGTGAACCCGGGAGGCGGAGCTTGCAGTGAACCGAGATCCAAGATCGCGCCACTGCACTCCAGCCTGGGAGACAGAGCGAGACTCCGTCTCAAAAAAAAAAAAAAAAAAAAAAAAAAAAAAAAAAAAAGGAGGAGAACAAGCTGAAGCGAGGAGGGCAACAGTCTACTTCTAGTTCCTCCTTGGAGTGTGGCGCATGAGAAAAGCAGCCCTTTTGGAAAGAATTTTCACGTGCATAACCTTTTCTTTCCCTTTTATCTTTTCCTATTTAAATCCCTCCCCCAATTTAGTCCCTCTGTACCAAACACATACCAAAATGAATCACCTTGGTGAGGAGTAAGAGATAGTAAGATATGTTTTCTTCTACACTACGTTTTCACTCCTCAAATCAAAGAGAAAACAAAAATTCTAAATTCTTTGAAAGTTTTGCATCTTAGCAAACACTCAATAATGTGAAACGTCTTACTTCACAGACAGCTGCCTGAAGCATGGCGTCAAAACCTCCTTCCGGTGTATCTATGTTTCCAGAGATCTTCTGTCTGTGAACTGCTTTCTCAAACTCAGTGATGTTCTCTGTCAAAGACAGCACATGGATGTATCCATGGGGAGGCATGCAGTCTAAATTGTAGTCACTATATGGGAAAAGAGGAAGTGTAAAGTTTATTTTGCTCTTCTTTCTTAAGCATTCTAGAATACTTAACAGTAAAATTGTACAGTTGAGTGAAAAGGGAGTACTTCTTTTGTGCCAGGGGAATTTTATAAGACAAAAATCTGTGCTTATAAAATTAGAGAGAAGTTCAATATTGATGATCATTTCTTTGCAAGTAGGAAATAAGACTATAAGTAGCTGGTATTCAAAAAAATAAAGATGATTAAACATGTTTGTTAATATAGGACAGCTAAGGGCTTTCAATATTTAATCTGCACTGAATTTTTAAGGTGAATAAAAGAATGTGCAGTGATTTCTTATCATTGAACAGCTGAGAAACACTTTTGGAAAATGCTTTTGAGGAATTTAGTTGAAATGTGATAATACTGCTTGTTTTTTAATACTGCACTAATTTTTAAAATCATGCTTGGTGGAATTATTGATGAACAATCAAAATTCATTAAAATTATTTTGAGAATCCATGATATCCAGAAAGTAAGAATGATTCCTCTGGTACATTCACCTCAAGAAGGCTTATGAAACTCCATTAGTGGATGCATCAATCCTGTTCTGGTACAACAGATGACAGAGCTGTTTCGGTAAATTGGAATGTGTATTTTAAGGTAATCTAAGGAATTGGTAGAAGCAAGAAAGATAAAGTCTTTTATGAAAAAAGATCCAAACGGATTTATTTTTCTGAAAATTCAACGGGCTAATGGCAATATTGTGTGAGACACTTACATTTTTAAAGTTAATTCTTCTTTCATAGTGGGACATCTGTTATTTAGAATAAGAATTCTAAAATGATAAGAAAAAAGGCTTTCTAAGCAGTCAAATTCTCATCTTTTGACCCACTTTTTTGTGATAGCTGAGCTTTCTTTGTAGTCACATCATAGGCAACATCATTATCCCCAGTCACAGTACAGTATTGGAGAGATAGATGACGTGCTGGCACAAACTCTTTGAAATGTGTCAAATCATAATTCAGCAATTTTGGAGCAATCAAAGCATAAAAATACAGCATTTCCAAAGAGGTATTTATATACATGGCGGCCTAACTATTGAAGCTTCATTCAAAGCTACTAACATTAGGCATTGTTTTTTGTTTGTTTGTTTATTTTTGGTGATAAAAACTAACTAAATATTTAAAGAAATAGAAAATAAAAAGCCCAATCTACAGGTCATCTCAGAAGTTTTCAGATATGAACAAACTTTCCCACCTCACCAAATATTTTTATTCTTATTTTATAAGACAAAAATATAAAACTTGGTAAGTTCTTTACATTAAAAACAAAGTGAGATTTTATAAGCAAAAAATTAATTTAGCATATGCTCATCAAACCCTAGATACCTGCATTGATTATGAATCCTTTCAGGGTGGATGCTAATGTATGGTGAAACTGTTTTATCAACATATGAACCAAATCCAAGGCGAAAGTCACGAGAGAAAAATGCCATTTTTCTAGATAAATCGTTGCCAACAGAATTTAATTTTTCTATATTATTGTGCATTGATGCTGAGACATCAACCAGATAATAAAGATCCACAGGATATTTCTTCAGAGGATGAATTTTCAGCATAAAATTAGCTTCAGCTCCTAGTTCGACAGAAGAAAAACATCATGTAGTCTTCATTTTAAACTTTTCAGGATAAGCTATCAATAAATTAGTCACATTCTAGCACCTAGCACAATCATCACAAATGTGCACATGAATTTTGGAATATTCTAGTATAATTATAATCATTATAGTATAATTATTATTGTAGTATAATTATAAGGCAATTTGAAAACCATACCAATTTATTAGTCCCAAATCCTACAGTTCATTTCCCACAATTCTATAGGCTGAATAGGGATAATAACAAATAGGCTAGCTCCGTATAAATGTAACAGGGTATCGTATCATTATATGAACCTCCTTTGCCTTAGTAGCTAGAAAAACACAGTGCAAACCAGTAAGCGGCATTCTATCTCAAGAGAGTGAGGGGGCTGTACTTGTGGAATGACTTGAGGAAAACTGGGAAGGCATTTTTTTTTTAAATGAACTCTTATTGGATAAAGGCATGAATTCATTCTTTTGGGTTAAAGTGTATTTACACAGGAGATGAGAAAACTCTAGTACTGTGTAGTACAGCAAGTTGTTCAAAATAATTAGTAGCTCGTCACTAGTTAGTTGATATGATTCTTCCCATCAGTTAGCCAAGAGAAAGAATGAGACAGTGGGCTAAAGAATGGTGCCCTGCAGTGCCACATGGAGGACCTGGGGCAGGTAAGGATCAGCATTTGTCCAACACACAGTGGGTGTTCACATGCTGAGGAGGGGCCCCATGAGTGAGGCACCCACTGTGGACAGAACAACTGGATGAGAAGAGGGGGCTGCCACAAGGACAAATGTTGGTAGTCCCCACAGGGTACTACAATTTTATTTAGTTTTCTGTCATATTACTATTAGATACAAGGACCTGGGTTATCCCCCCTAACCCTCTATAGAGTTGGTACCTCTACTTTTAATTTAAAGTATATAGTGAAAAGGCATCTATTGAAATGTAAGCAATTCATAATTTGTAAATTTTACTTTTTGAAACTATTAAGCAAATGCTTTGTAAGTCATTATTTTTCCATAAGAATATTCTGAATGGAAGACATTTTTAAAATAAACATCTTTTGTATACATAATTTACTTATTTAAAGAACCTTCTAATTTATCAAATTATATTTTTGGTGTTAGTATAAAATAGCAATATTTTCTTTTCAATTATTTCACAAATCAGATGTTTTTCAGCCAAATTACCTACTGTATTCAAAATAATAAGGTTTTGCTGGTATATAATAATAATAATGGGAGAAAGGGACTACTCCTTCCCAATTTGCTTTTTTTGTGCAGGCAACCCCTTTGGTGTAATGCTCCTAGGTTTTGGCTCATATTTGAAAGGAGAAATAGGGCAGGCGTGGCCCAGCCCAGTCCATTCTCTCATCCCTTGCCTTCAGAAGTTAGGCTGCCTCCAGAGAGCATATCCTATATTCTGCTCTGCTTTTGGGCTTCTGTTGACAGAAAGACCCGTTCCTGTGGCAGTGTTCTGCAATTTGAGTGGAGAAATTAAATTCAGGGGAATGTTAAACACTGGTACACTGGACCAGATCGAAGAGAAGTAGAAATTCAGCACTACTGGGAGAACGACTCATGTGCAGGGACTTGAACCTTGATGTGTGGATCAGTGTATTTTGTTTTTCACTCAGACCCAAAGTATCGACTCTCTCTAGGTGAACTGCTGTTGATGAAAAGTACTGTCATCTTTGTAGATTTAAAAAAGATTGTTTTTGTAAACTGGCCACATGGTATCATGGTATTTTTATGTTGGTGAATCGTTGCAGTTTACGGTGGCTCTGTCTAAAGATGAATGGCTGTTTTCAGAGGTATTGCTAGATGTAATAGATGGTCAGCATATTGTGCCAGGGACCCAGCAAAGGTATGGGTCGGTGACCTCAGCAAACAACCAGAGCCTGTGTAGCATCAGCAAAGGCACAGTCCTTGGAGGTAAGCTATTCAGGGCCTTCCAACCAAATGCTAGCCACACGAAGGCGCTCAGCTGAAACCAGCTGCTCATAGCCTAGCAAGCAAATTCTGGTCTCACTGGCCTCAGCAAAGAAGAAGACTGTGAGAAAGCACTGCCAAATGGTTGGGGTGTGAAGGTGTTGGCTGCTGTGCCTTGATTTTGGATTCCATAGATTCTGGCCTTAGCACGTATACCGGGGTCAGCTGAGGCCTCAGCAGAGAAGTTTCTAATAAAGAGGAAAAGAGAATATTTCCATACACAGGCCTTTTAGTAATTGCTGGCAAGAAAAATAATCAATACTTTTACACTGCAAGACCCCTGAGCTTGTTGTGAGAGTCTAGCTTTAAGTAGTCAATTCAAGGTAAATAGACCTAGATAGGCTGACCCCAAATCGTGCTCTGTTTGATAAGGAGGAAACCAAAGGGGTCAAGCTGGGATTACCATGTCATGCCCATCAGTTTGAGATGTTCCTCATAATATGCTCTCAAGTTGGCTTTGGATTGTATAATTATAAATAAAGGAGAAAACTCTTGGGAGCAGCTGTCCTAGGCATCAGTATTCCACAGTAAGAGGACACAGAAATACCTTTGTGTGGCACTATGGATATTATGTCCCTAGTTAACGCCTCCACTTAACCTTTGTACGTGATCTCATCGTAGAGCCACTTATAAACTATTTTGGACAAGATGCCTGGGCATAATTTTGGAGGAGAAATGGAATAGGGTATAAAACAGGGGCTTAGAGTGACCCTGGAAATGATTTAATTAATGAAGTGCTATGACCCATGTCAGGGTTTCCAGGAAAATCTCCACTTCCCATCAGTGGTTTCAGAATTATTACCAAAGGAACTCTAGTTGGCATGGGGACGTGGCTATATGAAAAGGACAACAGAAATGTCCGGATAGACCGTGGATCTCTGCCCTGACAGGGACAGCACCCTCAGTTTCATCACATGCCTACTGGCAATATCCATTGGTTTTAAACAAACAGCCTGGGAATTTCAGGGAGGGGAGGGAAGGGAAGGGGAATGATTGCTCCTCACTTTTCCTCCTTCCTCCCAAGTAGGACAAGCCCGACTACAATAACCCCCTCCCACATTCACTCCTCCTCAAGCATAATATATGATTTTCAAAGCCATTTTACCTAAAGAATTTTATTAATTTTGCAGAAGCCCTGTTGAATATATTTCTATTAATACTTTACAACTATCTGGGCTATTCCAACTATCAGGAATTATTAAACAGTTATATGCAACTGGATTTGTTATATAAAAATTAAACTTAACCTGGCATGGGCGCTCCAGATATTTTTAGTTGTAAGGTACCATGGGTTAATATTTATATTGAATATTAATAGATGATATGTCAGTGTTCCCTTTTTAATTTCACATTAACTTAATTATAGCTGTTCTTGTCATTTTAGGGGATTTGGGTGTTGAAGATAAAAGTAATTATTACTTTACATTTCTGGTATCTTTATTTGCCAGTCTCAGGAAGTAACCTAAGTAAGTTTCTACAACAGAAAACAAAATTCTGGTGATACTTCATTTGCTTTTTTGTTTATGTACTTTGCTGCCATACTGCATTCTTTTCAATAGTTTTCTGTTTTTGGAATACAAGTAAATGTGAAGAATCTATTTGGGTGTGTGTTTATGTGAATGTCTTTAAAATATCATTCAGTTCTTCTGAATGCAGAGCTATCTAATTTTCCTTTTTTTTTTGGAATTCGAATCACATTATCTCACCAATTTTTCCTATATTAAACAATCAATTCTCACCACTAAACATATGTAAGGCCAACTTTGGGGAAAATAGTTATAATTGACTATAATTTAGGGCCCACCATAACATTTCCTTCTTTTTTTTTCCTTTATGAATGTAGAATCTCTAACACAGGGTAGAATCAGGTTAATTTCAACACTATAGTTCAAACTCATTACTTTTGACGCAGTAAAGGGTTTAAGAGTTGAGAATCTAGTAGTTTAGTTTTCACTCACTCTCCTTACCTATTATTCGTCAAGTTAAACATTTCAGTTGAACTCCTCTAGCATGCCAGAATACTGGGATATATTCCTATCCACCCTTGCCCTTCTTGTCTTTTTGCCTGGATAATTTCTATAACCTCTTCATTTGTCTACCTCTATCACTTCATTTTCCTGCCATCATTATCTATACCACCAAATCTGTCTTTTTAAAATTCAAAACTGCTTATGTTTTGTCAACAGCTCTCCACCAGATGGCCAATGCCCAATGGCTAAATATGTCAGATCAAAGTTCCTACATAATACTTACTCTTGTCTACATCTTTAGTGCTAGCAAAACAAATCTGCTTTAATTCCCCCATATACACCCTACAAATGCATACTCCTATGCCCTGCTTGTGGTCCTTCCTCTGCCTGTGGGGACCCAACCTCTTCTTCTTCGTGTAATTACCAGTTAGACACTACTCACTAATCTGCTCCTTCCTAAACTGAGCTGAGGGCCCCGCCCCTGTGTTTCCATGGCAACTGGATCATACCACCATTTTAGTGTTTACCATATAATTATGAGATTCTAAACTGGGCATCTTTATCTTTTTTTTTTTTTTTAAGCAGCTAAGAGCTACTAAATAAGATAATCTATGTAAAATATTTTCCATAGTATTACATATATAGTAAATGCACATGTTAGTAATTATTACTACTACTAGATTTTAAGCAACATTAGGGTAAGAACTGTTGCTTCATCTCTGAAGCCTCTGTAATTGGCACATACATAGTCACCCATAAATGTTTTATAACTAAACTATATTTGAAGCACATTTTGGTACAACATTTCAAAGGGCCCACATATTTACCACAGAAAGAAGTCAGTATCTAGAATTATTTCCCACAGTGTAGGGAGAGCTTCCACAGAGTTTCTCTAAGAGGAAAACAGTATCATCTGGCTCCCAAATGTTCCTGCCACCACTTATATTATCTCCAGGAAAGCTTTATCCTCGTGCCTTTTGAGATTCTAAGGACTCAGACCCTCATTTCCTTCCACTAACTTTAAAGGGAAGAAG